ACAAGTTTCATAATTTGACATGTCTCGATGAAAAATGAATCTTGGCACTTGATTTTGACCAAAAAGTCAAAGTTTGACTTTTCAGTATACAGTCAAATTTTGATCAGTTGACTGGAAAATTCATCTGTCAATCCTGTGCATTTGGGATCTTTTGAACTTGTGGAATGTGTCAAGACAATGCCATTGAGTCCTTTAGTCCATATGTGATCTTGGTTTGCCATTGGTTAAGTCAAACAGTCAAAATTTGCCTTTGTGCAGTCAAAACCCTAAAAATGACCATTTTGCCCTTTTGATGAACTGATCAAATTTCTTGTGGAATTGTGATCCAAACTTGACAAAATGGTTCATATGGGTTCATTATGTTGATGTGGGTCAAATTTCATGAGGTTTGACTGTTAATTGGCCACAGTTGACTTTTTCTCCAATACAGTTGATTTCTAGGTCAACTGTCCAATTGACTGGGCAAAGATTGGAATCAAGGCTTGAAACTTGGTATGGATAAACTTGTGAGTCCAACATGAAGCATGAAATTCACTTTAGGCATTTTGGGTCAAAACATCTTTGTGCAAACTCAAACCCTAATTTGGGTCAACAGTGCGAGGAGGGGTCTTGAGCAGAGCAAACCCTAACTTGATCTTGAGCTCCAAGGGTCTTGTGGTGAGAAAATGTTGATGAAATGAGAGAGCAAATTTTGGGGTACAACAACATCCATTTTTCAGGTCGAGACATTTGCTAGCGTTTTAAAGCATATAACGTATGTTTCAGTTCAGTCGACACATAGACCTATACAGGTCGACACATACAACATAAAAATTAAGTATGTGTCGACACATAGGATATACAGGCCGACACATACTGATTATTTGGTCAATTTTTTCAAATATTTTTAATTTTGAATTTGTCATTTTTTCCCTAAAAGTTCAAAAACTATAAATACTCATTCATGCATCATTCATAACTTGGTGATACCATAAAATTAGCCTGTATTTCTCTTCATCTTCAACCTCTAACCTATGCATACACACTGATATTACATTGTGATAATGTTTCGTTGGGTTCCATCTAGACAAGGATTGATAGTGTCCAATTAGGTATTGAGTTGAGCTTTGTAGGGGTCTTCATCCGGAAAAAACCGTGGGTTTGTCCTCAAAGATTATTGGTTGATTTGAGGGTTTTCGTGCAAGATGTTCAAGAGGTAATTGCGGTCAAGTGAAGTCCTTTGGAGATAAATAATACAAGAGATCCTTTGGAGATAAAGAATACAAAGGAAGTAACGAGAGAACAACATATCACAATTGAAGTATTATATTGCAATAGTTTGAAATTGACGGTGCGCGAAAGCTTTGGAGATAAAGAATGCAAAAGATTAGCAAGATCCAAATAGTCAATTTGCATCTATTGTGTCTTGGTCTTTCTCAAGATCAAAAGAAGAGAAAGGGTTGAATCAACAATAAGCATTATGGTTTGTGGAGTTGCTCATGAACACTTCTCTTGTATCAACTTTTTGCATAGTAAGAATTATTCTAATTCCATTAGAATTAAGCACAGACGTACCCACACGCGGAGACGACATCAGGGAACTGTAAAGACAAATTCCTCGTGTCTATTTCATTTTTATTTTTACTTGCTTTGATTTTCATCAATCAATTTATAAAATAGCATTGCATTATCAATTAAATTGTAAGAAATTTTCCGAACTGTTTTTTATTCTAAATCAAGTGTTGATATAGCCTATAATCACTTTTGATTATAAGTGGTTTTGTGTATCAACATAATTCAAGGAAAAATTGTGAAAATTCACTTGCACACCAAGTGTTTGATAAATTGATTCAATTTGTTCCTTTAATATTTCCATTGGAAATAACTTTACTAGTAACTTGCAATAAACGTTAAATAAGTTGTAAAGTGATTCAAGCATATTAATTCAAGTGTCATATTGAGGTGTGTGATTCAGAAATAAACCATTATTGTGGCCTTATATTGACGATGTTTATATTGAGTTTTGGTTTAGAGAGGAACCACTGATGTGGCCCTATATTGGTGATATTCATGCTGAATTTTAGGTTTAGAGATGAACCAATATTGTAGGACTCCAGTTCAGTGTTGTAGGACTTTAATCCAGTGTATAAGGACTTCGGTCCAGTGTGGTGATTGATAAGTGATCATGGGAGTAGGAGGTTCGAATGGATATTGTTTGCATTTGTTTGTAGTATCATGCATAATATATATATAGAAGATAGGTAGGACTTAGATCCAATGTTGTAGGACTTCGGTCTAGTGTTGAGGATTCCTCAGTAACATAACTCTGATATCCATTATTTTAGGACTTTGGTCCAGTGTTGTAGGATGATACTATATGCATGAAAGTAGAGGAAATGCACATTCCATAATGACATTGTATATTGTATATATGTGTTAACTGAATATATTTGATATGTGATACCCTTGCTATTTTAAGCATCATTAATATATGTGAATGTATTTTCACCTCGTGTTTGTTTTATGTGTTGTCTTTACGTCTGTGATGCAGATACTCATGTAGAGGAGTCTTAGTTATTGCTCGTGTTGGAGGATTTCATAGTTGACCTTCTTCGTGGTTTATCATTTTATGTTGTTTAGTTTCCTCGTGTCACTCTGATAGTGTAATAATGCGTTGAGATTATTTAATTATGTTTTTATGCGTGTTGTCGAGTTTATCTGATTAACTGTTTTATGATTGAATAAAGTGATTTTATTTTTATGAGATAAATTAAAAATGTGTTGAAGTTTAATTTTGTTGCTATAATATGATGTTTGAGAAAGTTATTTTATGTTGAGAAAATGTAACTCTTCTTTGAATAATTATTTTCAATATTTTTATAAATCAAATGCTTAAAGTTTAGAGTATTACAAATGACATTAGAGGAATATTTTCTATAGAAAAGATTCGAAGGAAAATGACAAATAGAAACCCTTATTGATAAGAATTGAAGATATATCTCATGGAATATGATTTTACGTCTAATATTCCTCTATTAGTAAAAATTGATAAAGATTATTGATTTGTGGACAAGCCTTAATTTCTAATATTTAAGGATTTTCTTGAAAGTAGTTTTTTTAATACTATTCACTTTACAACTATGGTTCAACCATTCAAATGTTTGAATATTAATCACTCAACTTAATTTACTCATAGAATGATTAGAGCAAAGTGTTAGTTAATAACCAACTGACAAATTAGAACTAAAAGATAGAACAAACTATAAATCAAATAAATAACTATTATTTTAACTAACAAATAAATTCATGTTCTAACACCATTTTTAGCACACCAAACCACCATGAATTAACATCTAACATATACTAACATGTTTATAGGATCAAATCTAACATATACTAACATGTTTATAGGATCAAAATAGAACAAAATTACACATGCAAGCTATCAATACATGAATATATTAAATTCATCATGCATTCACAAAACAAGCAAGTCACACATAACCTAAGCATGAATTCTACCGTTTCACATCACCCTAACATACAATGCTAAGAACTACCTAAAACCCCAACCTTTAGGATGATAGAACCTGAAATTTCAAAATTTGAAAGATGATGATTAAGTGATGATTAGAAGAGTTATTCTAACTTAAGTTTCTGTTAATTTTCTCTTAGGTTTTGTTTGAAAATTTAGAGGAGAAGGGAGGGGAGAGTTTAAAAAATGAAATAATTGAATAAAAAAATAGAAGAATTTCGGTGAGGAGGATCTTTGAGATTTATTTTTATTCACAAACCAAAATCTTTCTAATTTGAGAAACTAAAAAAATTGTATTTGAAGAGGGGTATGGAGGGTTTGGACAAATTGTCTAAATATATTTTATGTTGTTATAATATTTCAAAAATTTAAAATATGTAAATGATAAATACTCTTTTATCATTCTAAATAAAATATTTTTTTCAAAAATGTTAAGATTTCTCTAGATTTTTCTTTTAAAAATCTGTTTAAGAAACTCTCCCGAAACTCCAAACTCCCAAACAAAACTTTATACTTTGTTTGAGAGTTTGGAGGCAAGGGGAATAAAGTATTTTGGAAATTTTTTTTTAAAAAGATATAGAAGAATATGTAACTATTTTGAATTTTTTTGGTATAAAATGATAAAAGAATGCTTAACATTAATATATTTTTAATTTTTGAAATATTATAACAATAAAAATTATATTTGAATAATTTATCTAAGTCTTCTAAAACCATCGTCAAATACAAATTTTTTAATTTCCTTAAAAATTTTGATTTGTAAATAAAAATAAATTATCCAAAATCCTTTCCACTTAAATCCTTCTATTTTTTCAAAGCATTTGCCTCCCCTCTTCTCTAAACTCTCAAATAAAATCTTTAGTGTCTGATAAAAAAAAATTTGACATGGTTTTATTAGAGGTTGCACAGCTAATAGATGTAAATGTCATTTTTTTTGTTGTTGGGAATATCTGTGTCTCAAAGGATGTTGTGTTTGGTTTTAAGGTTCATATGATGAATCTTTGCTTGGATTGTTCTTACTAATCCAAATAAACTTTAGGTTAAAATTCTGAAGGCTAAATATTCTTGAGGTGAATGTACCTCTAGGCTTATTTCCTAATTATTTTACTTTCTATATAAAAAAAATGAGAGGGGCAAGAGTATTTTGGAAAGGAAATTAAAACACAAAAATACAAGGTGTATTAGTAAAATATTTTTGGTAAATAGTAATCCCTCAGCCCATATTTGTTTCTATCTTTTCATAAGCCCATTTTCCAAATCCACCATATGGGCCATATTTTGTCTCAGATGGCACTCTCCGATCCAATTTCTATTTTCACTCATTCACCGGTGCCTTAGCTGCATCTTTCTTCTCCAACCACCGGCAACCGCCACTCCTCCACCGGCAACCGCCACTTCTCAGATCTCCGACACGGCGTCCAATCTCTGAATTTAAACTCGAAGTGCTGGATCCATATAATACCAGTAGAGCTATTCAATCCACACTATGAGGAGGTAGAGTTAAACTGATTCGAGATTGATTTTGATTTTGTTTCGTTTTTCAATCGTCGAAAACGTCGTTTATTGCAGACCTGGACTTCACAGGCAGCATGGAAGGAATGCCGGAGGGTCTGGATTCAAAGGAATGATCGCGAAGTTGTCAATTGCTGCTGCTGTACTCTTGATCTGTACGCTCTCGTTGTTCTTCTCTACATCAAAACCTTCAAATGTTCAATCAAGTTTTCGCACGGAGGTTCGTGCAAAATTGTCCAGTTTAGAATCTCTGCGTTTTTTTTTTTCTGATCATGAATTTGCAATTTACGATTTGTATTTGTTGTTGAACAGATCCGTTTAGGAGAACTTTGGACCAATGCTGATTCCGATGGATGGAGACCGTCGTCTACTCCACGTTCTCATTGGCACCGTATCTATCTGTTCTTGTAGTTACAGACTGTTTCTCATGCAAGATTTTTCATCTGAGTATGGATGTTGTAGAATTTTCTAATAATGTGTTTGGTGTTTGTTTTTGTAGCTCCTCCGAGTAAGAGTAATGGCTATTTGCGTGTTCGGTGTAATGGTGGGCTAAATCAGCAGCGTACTGCAGTTTGTACTCTTTTACTGTGAAATGTGATGGACTTTTATGAGTATATGAGTTGTTATTTTTTAAGTTTTGATTTAGTGTATTGTGAAGCTAGGTGAACGAATCTAGTGCTGTTGTTAGGATGGGTCTTTGAATATGTATGGCAATTGTGTTGTGTTCTGGCGATTGTATTGTGTTCTGTGTATTGTGTTTATATATTTGTATTTTAATGATGTAGATCTCTAATGCTGTTCTTGCTGCGCGGATCATGAATGCTACACTAGTGCTGCCGGAGTTGGATGCAAACTCCTTTTGGCATGATGAAAGGTATATCTTTAATTGTCTTGAAATTTTAACAACTTATGAACTGTTAAACTTATTCATCAATTTTGATTTTGATTGAAAAAGATGTGTAAGCTATACATATTTTCTTGAATATGTATGTTTATTGCCCAATTTGAATGTGATTATTAATTATTTCATCAATAATTATTTTCTAATGAATAATTAATATTACTGTTATTATATTAGGTATCTATGTAACATATTAGGATACAATGAACTCTTTTTTCCTCTAGGGAATGCATTAGTTGTAAATTAAAAGCACTAATGCAAATACATGTATTTATTATTGAAACGGGAATTTTGCACAAATTGGTGTTTAGTTTGCCTAGAAAAATGTAATTTACTACTAAGAAATGGTATCTGTTTATCACCTATTAACCTGTCTCCTTAGACCATCCATTAGAAGGCTGAAGGCATTCTTTTGTTATATTTGTTCTTACTTAATAGATGATATACTATTTTCCCCACATGAATTTGGAAGATAGTTTCTGCTAAAGTTATTATACATCTGATAGCAAGTAATTGCTGGATTAACTTGTGTGGAAACAATATGTGCAGATAACTATCAGAGGGAAAAAATTCATTTGCTAACGTCTAAAGGAATTCCTTTTCCCTTGTCTCATGAAAAGTTAAAGAGAGTTTGAGTGCATTTTTTTAAGAAACAAATTGAATTCTTTGCATTTATTAGCATGATATCTCAAGTTTTTAATTTTGTATAAAGTAGCATTAGATGCTTGCTCCTTTGTCAGATGGATTATATTGAGTTGGGTGCTTGTTAATTTTATTTAACCTTTCCCGATAGATAGACATTAGACAGAAATGAGTTTCTTCTAGTTTCACATGATTCACCAAAGTTTCTAGGCTAAGTTTCTTAGTTTAAATGTTGGTGCTTAGGACTTTTTGGTAGTTTCTAATGAAAATCTTATTTTGATTTAGAAGAAGAGGCACCTTTTCTATGGTTTACAGATTCTGGTTTCGTTGATTGGTAAATTTGTGATGACTTGGTGTCACACTATATTACAACAGGTCCTATATCATTTATTTGTTTGATTTGCATGCAGTGGTTTCCATGGTATCTACGATGTTGAGCATTTCATCCAGACACTGAGGTTTGATGTAAAGATCGTAGAAAGCATTCCAGAAAATGAGAAAAACGGCAAAAAGAAGAAAATAAAGGCATTTCAGGTATTCTATAATAATTTGGCAATTGATGAGTAGTTTGAAATCATTTTAATTTCCAGGATAATATATTCAAAATATCAAATGTTATTTTGACACAGCTCCGCCCTCCTAGAGATGCTCCTATAAGTTGGTATACTACCGACGCACTCAAGAAAATGAAAGAACACGGGGCTATCTATCTTACTCCCTTTTCACACCGATTAGCTGAAGAAATCGACGATCCTGAGTACCAAAGGTTGAGGTGCAGGGTTAACTATCATGCTTTAAGATTCAAGCCACATATTATGAAGTTAAGTGAATCAATAGTTGATAAGCTGCGTTCACAAGGGCCCTTCATGTCCATACATCTTCGGTTTGAGATGGATATGTTGTCATTTGCTGGGTAAGTTATCTGGTATGTTTTCATGTTCACATACATCAATTGAGGTATAGACATGTTGTCGTTGGTAAATTATAATATCTTTTACATTAGCAAGTATACTTATCTTATTCTAAGCTATGTATATTTATGCCAACTTTTTTTCTCAGAAAGTATAAGATCAAAAGCATGAAATTTCAATCCATCCGTGGATCTGTTTTGGAAATTTTTTTATTGTTTCTAAACATCTCTAATGGCCTCTTCAAAGTCCTTTTACCTATCTCTATTATAGTGGATCATTGGTGAAAATGACATTACTTGACAAATTGAAACTCTTTCGTGCACATGTGCATATTTTCCTCGGGTTGGTTATTTTCCCTTGTTATAGATATATTGATATTTATTGTAGAGATATTGATATCTCAACATCCTCGTTGGTTATCTATATCTTACAAGGGTACAGTTAGCTCTGAATTAATGAGCTGTAGCTACTACCTCGTTTGGCTTTATCTGTCTGTATTAGCATGTTGACATGTTCTGTAAGTGCTGATCCGAGAGTAGAAGAAACTGTAGAATCTGTTTTCTTGGTGGATAAATGAACTCATTTTTTTAAAACTAAAACTGTAATTTATATCTTCTCTCTCTAAGTCTCTCATGTTAAATATGTATGTGATTGTAGATGCTTTGATATATTTACACCCGAGGAGCAGAAGATTCTAAAGAAGTACCGAGAAGAAAATTTTGCACCTAAAAAACTTGTCTATAATGAAAGAAGAGCCATTGGAAAATGCCCACTGACACCCGAGGAGGTAGAAATTAGTTTCATTTTCATTATCTTTTCATTGATTCTTTGTCTGGATAATGGTATGTAATATGTATGTTGATGATTACAAATTACAAATTTGTTGAAAGTTATGATGCCAATAATTTTAGTTGGATATAGACTGATATATTCTAATTGCAGGTTGGTCTTATTTTGCATGCATTGGGTTTTGACAATTCTACCAGGATATATCTTGCAGCTGGTGAATTGTTTGGCGGGGATCGATTTATGAATCCATTTCGAAGTTTATTCCCTAGACTTGAGAATCATACTTCTGTAGATCACTCGGAAGAGCTTGCTGAGAACACTAGGGGATTGGCAGGTTCTGCTGTGGATTACATGGTCTGCCTACTTTCCGACATTTTCATGCCAACCTATGATGGTCCAAGCAACTTTGCAAACAACCTCCTTGGCCATCGCCTTTATTATGGCTTCCGGACTACAATCAGACCCGACAGAAAGGCTCTTGCTCCCATCTTCATTGATAGAGAGAAAGGAAGAATGGCCGGTTTTGATGATGCTGTTAGAAAAGTCATGCTTAAAACAAACTTTGGTGAACCTCACAAGCGTGTTTCTCCTGAATCTTTCTATACTAATTCTTGGCCTGAATGCTTCTGCCAAACAACACCGAAGAACCCAGCAGACAAATGTCCACCAAATGATGTTTTAAGTGATATGCATAAAGAACTGAATAAACAAGCTACAGACACAAACTCTACAAAACTTTGAGCAGAAACAGAGGGGTTACTCATGGCTCCGAGCTAATGATTCTTTTATTCTGCAGTAACGAACTGCTGTGTGCTAAATTGAAAAGGAACGAGCTCCTATTACACGATCCAGATTATCAGGGGATATTTTTTGTCTCGATTTATTAGTTCCATTGACTGAGTGATATAGTTATGATAATAACAAGAATTCAAGGAGCTGATCTATATACTCATTTAATTGTGTAGACGATAGAAAGAAGATCACACAGATTGGGTAGAGAGCCGGCAATGTGATTGGAATTATGTTGTGTAGACTGTGCATGAGAAAAGGCACTTATAGTTAGTTACCTAGTGAAAGTTGAAATTTCTGGCATTTGTGTGTTAGATGTTAAATACCTGGAATGCGGATAAGTATCTGATGTGTTAAATAAATATATGTATGTTTTTTTCATTTATTTATTTAATTTAATACCTTTTTGGGTAAATTTCCTACAATTTTTTCGAGATAAAGGAGGGTTAAGCACTGTTAGAACATTGAAATTATAATGAAAGAAAGATCACGAATGATGAGAGAATTAAGAATGAATCTAACAAATGTGTTATTAAGCTTGAATCAAAAGTGGCATATATATCATAAATATATATTTAACAAGCTATAAAAATTGCCTCAACAAAGTTTAATTAACAAGTTTCCTAAAATAGGAAGTTTCTAACTACTTTTTAAAAACTAGTTATAAACTAAACTTAGCCTGATCACATCATCACTTGTATGCTTTTATTTTGCAATTTTTCAACATCCTCCGTAACGCATGGTAAATTTCTAATATGTTAAGCTTGAAAGCAAAGCTATTAGACTTGTTTGTGAGTAAAGATTTTGTAAGAAAATTTATCAGATCTTTTGAGAAGAGATAGGAAGCAGATTCAATATGTATTGTTGGATTTCCTCTTTTACTAGACTACAATCAATCTCAAGGTGTTGTCTTTTCATAAAAAACATGATTTGATGTTGTGTAATGGTACTTTGACCGTCTCAATCATTATTTCTTTAATGACCAATCCCTTCAAAGATGTTACCAAGTTTTCCTTTAATGTCCTCAAAGTGATTCAAGTGATTCAAAATGATAGTTGAAGTTGAATTAGTTTAATTGAGGAAAAAATCAATAAATGTTCAAGGTCAAAGTTTGACTTTTAAAATTTTGGTCAACCATGAGCATTTTAAGTCAAGATTCATGAAAGTGTGATATTTTGTTGGGTTTCATCAAGAAGAATCATGAAAATCAAGAAGATGGTAAATTTGATTGGTTTTAAAATATTTCTAACTATCAAAATGCATGGTCATTTGAGTGATTTTACAAGCTTGTATCTCATTCATTTGTGCACTAAAATTTGCAAACAAGGGCTGCCATTGGAGCTTTCATATGAAACTACATGATGATGAAATATTTGGGTTCAAAATCTTTCTCCAATTGATTGAAATTGGATGCTAAAGTTAAGGTTTCCAGTTTATACAAAGCAGCAAAATACTTAGAATTTTTTTAAGTATTGAGGCATGGTAATATGCATGACTTTTCAATACACTTGAGAATAGTTCAAACAATCATTTTTGAAACTTGATGGATGCTTATATTTCATTATGGTGGAAAGTATGACCCAAAAAGCAATTCACAATTGTTAGAAATTTGACGTTAAAGTGAAGAGTTCAAGTTGATTAAATTGACAAAAATACTTAGAATTTTCTAAGTATTAGAGTCAGATGTGAAACATGACTTTAGAGCTATTTCAGTTAAAGTTTCAAGAATTTTCTTAACTTGTTTTCAACAACAAACTTGTTCTATTCCATGACCTCTTTCATTTGATACCAAATGTGCACCATTTGAATTATTATCCGAAGAGAAAAACCTTCACAAAGTCACTCTCAGGAGCATGTTCCATCAATAATCCAATGTTTTCTAAAATTGTCTAAAACTTTGTTGTGATTCGTTCTTGTGTTTATCAATGTTCAGCTTGACCCACCCACATATTCTCCACTCACCAACCTTGCCAAAACTGAGCCAACACATTACCTGCCATGCACATGAGAGCATCCAATAATTGCCAAAAATGGAATTGTGAAGTTAGTACAACACTTGCTCACAAAGTTTACCCGTGCCAACTCACATGCTCACCTCATAACCAACTATTTCCACACTTGATTCCAAGCCAAGACTTCCCACAATGCACTTGAACCTAAAGCTAACATAAGAGCTCCATTTCAAGTCGCATTCACACTCTAACAAAATGCTAAACCATGCATAACAAACTCTTAACCCCGGTTAATGAAAAGCTTCATTTCTAACCCTAACCAGACCTGAGTATATAAGTATTTTAGTTCCAAAGAGATTCATTCACCAACTATTTTCATATCTAAAAGTTTTCATTCTCTCAAATTCCCAAGAATTGACTTCTTCATTTCTCTCAACTTTCATTTAATCTCTGGCTCCAACCTTCATCTCTACTATGTTTCCAAGCTTTTGAATGCATTTCTTCTCATATAGATTCAACACAATGTTTGATCTAGCTTCATATTCTCCATCGTCTATTGAAAGTTGTTTGGAGAATCACAGTTAGATTCAAGGTGAAACAAACTTCGATCTATAATTCTCAAGCATCTGTGAAGCTTTCTACATTGTTTCTTCATCTCATTTTGTGGTCTGAAGAAGCAACAGACTTACTTCGTTAGGTATTACCTGAGGCTTTTGGTTCTTCAACTTTTTCGCATCATTTCCATTCATTTTTGTTGCTAAGATCATGCTTGGGATAACACGACCTGAAGTCCTATGAAAACAGGCTTTGATTGTGCATATGTGTGATGTAATTTCATGTTGAATTCGTTAGGATTTTTGCGTATTTTCTTGATTGCTTTAGTTTGAGTAATAATCTAAGAAAACTAAGTCTAATTTCTTGTTCGGTGGATGATTTCAAGTTGGAATGCAGTGTTTGTTTTGTTTTTTTGGAAGTTCCCACTATGATCGCCATCTCCGGCGCGGTGGAGTGGTTGTTATTGCACCCCAAAATTTTCCCTCTTCTTTTCAACCATAATTGTCTTATATTTCTTTAACATGCACATTCATGCATTGAGATGGGATCAAGGTGTTCTTGTTCTTTTGGTTTTCTTCAAACAATAAAAGAGAGAGATTTGACAATCAATGCAAGGAGGATGAGATATCCTCAATTTCATGTTCACTCAAGCTACAAGGGTTTCTCATGCCTCAAGACATCTCAACATGTCCATCACTTCACCAGATGATTAAATATTGCAAAAGATTGGGGGTTGGTCACATTCTCCTATCTTTTAATCCTTGAGCTAGGGTTTTGATTATTTGAGTGTGGGACACATTCATGGGAAAGAAACTTGAAGTCTCATCATCATGAGCATATCCTCAATGCACAAGGCACTTTTTTTAAGAGATTCTCAAGCTTCCCCAGAGGAATTAGGGTTTTGAATTTGTGCATCTATCTCTTATCGTTTTGACTAAAAATTAGGGGTTTGTGATTAAATTAGTTTATTTATGATTCATTGAGCAAAAATTGTTTCCATGGCCTTCTATGTGTTCCTAAGCATCCATATGTGAAGTATTTATCAATGAAAGTCATCATAAGAAGTTCAATTAGTCAGATGACAAGAGGAATTGACTGTATTGGGAAAAGTAAATTGTGCAACCAAAATGTCAGCTCATGACTTTTTATGCTCAAATTTGTGTTACATGAGTCCAATATGGTCAATGGTATAGATTTATTCAAGAAAAATCAAATATTTTATCAAGGTCAATTTTGTAATTTAGGGTTTATGAGAAATTACTATTTTTTGGAAAGTTTGTGTGTTTGAGCAGCTGTTTTCATGGCCAGTTTTCTCATTGATTCAAGCTTCAAATCAAAACAAAATCAACACCAAAGTTATTCTACTCCTGGCCAAATTTTCAATGCTTCAAAAATCATCTCCAATAATCTATTAAATTGCAAGATATCATGAGCTGAAGTTGGGTGTTTAAAAATGAAAAATCATTAACACTTAGTGAAAATTTCATTCATTTCACTCAGTTTCAAACAACAATTTCCGTGGGATTTTTTCATTGACTTCCATGCTTCAATTTGAAATTCTCTCAACATGATATTTCTTCCTTATGATGTTAGCTTTCCAAAGAGCTCAAGTTTATTTCATTTGATCAAGTATCCATGAAGTTTTATTAAATGGACGACAGTTGATCATCCAACTTTGTTTCAATTGAATGTTGTTGATTATATGCACAACTCGTGCCATTGCTTATAGTACATGCTTCATCCATCACTATCACATTCTTACCACTCTATTTCTTTTCCCAAAATGACCAAACAAGCACTCACACCATACATGCATACATACCACCATTTTTGCCAAAAGATAATATTTGCAAAATGCACAAACCTGACTCCATTTGCTCTTTGCCAGATCACCATTTCATGCATTCTTCACCCTTATTTCATCACTCAAAACGAAACCAATATTCCACCAAAAAACAACACAAAACACATCACATTTTCATCACTTCCCAATTTTTCTAAAAATGCCAAACTTGTCCCTAAACGAATTTTTGACCATAGTTAGCTATTTACCCCACCCTACACTCTCCATTTAACTCACTCTTTCTCTCATAACTCTCACACACACAATAGAGAAGCTACAATTCAGATCTCAAAAATTCCTTCACTCTCTCAAAGTTCTCCTTCAAATATCTTAATTAATTCCCTCAAGTCTCTTATATTCTCCAACTTTGTTGCTAACTTCTGAAGATCATAGATCAAGATTCCTTGGGTTTTTGAAGTATTTGAGTAGAGAAAAAGGAAGTGGACCTTCTCCACATTGGTAAGGATCACTTAAACTTCATCTCTTCCATTTTAGATCTATAAATTCCATAGGAATGTTCATACATTGCATCTGGAAGTCCTCTAAGAGAGGCATTGGTTAAATATTTGAATCTGAGGTTGTTTACAGGTTTGAATGTGTGA